AGTGACAAATGGGAAGGCCCTCAACGAGATGGATAGACACAGTGGCTGTAATGATGGGCTTGAGAATAGCAAGTATTTTGAGTCTGGAACAGGACCGGGCAGTGTTTCATTCTGTTGTATGTTCTGGTCACCTAACAATAGCAACAGCAACAACTATTAAATTCCAGACTTTATTCCTAATTACTTACTTTTTCCACTACTGTCCTTTTTCTAAGGAGCTCTGGTGGCATAGTAGGTAAGGTATTGGGCTTCCAATTAGAATATCAGCTGCTCAAACCCACCACCAGCTGCTCTTTGGGAGGAAAATGAGGCAGTCTAGTTCCGCAAAGATCTATAGGCTTGGTGAAACCAGTGGGGGTCTCTGTGAGTCAAAACATTCTCCAATGGGTTTGGTTTGGTCCTTTCTCTTTTCTAGGATCCAACTCAAACCCTTTATCTTTTAAATGACTTAAAATTATAAACCTTAGATCATAGCCAATGAGGAAATTTTATTCTCCATGCCAACATTTTAATGTTAATTTGGGAAATTTTATTTATCTGAAGACACAGTGGTGATTTGTCTATATCTAATGAACATTTTAGTACTAAAATTAGTTCTCTTGACACTTCCCATATAGTGAATGTGGAAAGATTAAGAATTATTCAATTATTAATATAGATTACCAGAAAATGAAACCCACTGCCATTGAATTGACTCCAACTCATCACGATCTTGTAGGACAGAGTAGAACTGCCCATAGGACTTCCAAGCTTAAACCTCTAAGGAATCAGGCTGCCTCATCTTTCTCCTACCCAGTGGCTGGTGTATTCAAACCACAGACATTTTGATTAGCAGAGCAATACTTTAAGCACAGCACCACCTCATTAGTATAGAGTAATATACAGCTAATTTTATTTTCTTTGTAAAAAGCAGATATCTAAAGTAGAAGTGGACTCATATGGGTTAGAGGGCTATTAAGGTAATACAAAGGTCCTGTAAAAGTGTTATGCTTTTAAAAAAATTAGCATATTCACTGTGACCAAACAAAATAATTTATATTTTTAAATTAATAAAAGGATAAGTTAAAGAGTTTAGCAAAATAAATACTTATCAGCCCTGTTCATGGTAAAGCGGGAATTAAATGTAAGTAAAAATGTTGATAATTCTTTTCTGTGTCAGTGGTCTGGGGGCTTGAGCTCCTATTGAATGTTTTCATGTATATTATGTTCTCATCCTATCAATATGCATCATTTTTTAACTTTTTATTTGATTTGGGTGAAAGTTTACACAGCAGAGTTGTTTTTCATTCAATAATTTATGCACATTTTGTTTCATGACATTGAGTGCAATCCCCACAATGAAACACACTTATCCCATTTCCTTCCTGTGTTGCCTGTCTCCATTCACCCTCCTTTCCTATTCCTTCTTCACTCCTGAACTCTGTCTCTATGCAGATGCTGTATGCTTTATGCTCTTAGTGCTTTATGCTCCATGCAGATCCTTTTGCTCTCCTGTGGTTGATTGTTCAAAGGAGCATGTACCATCTGGTGTTGCTCTTCACCTTATTTGCCTATTTTTTGGCTAAAAATTGAGCCACAAGGAGTGAGTTCAATTCCAGGCTTGAAGGGTGAATAAGTGCCAATCTTGGGGGTTCTACCAGTATCTACCAACCAGTAAGCCTGTTCTTTTTGAAGATTTTGAGTTCTGTTCTGCATCTTTTTTCCCCAATATATCCACAACTTTATACTATGACGGCTTTCAGAGCAGTCAATAGTGGTAGACGGACACCATCTAGTTCTTCTGGACTCAGGGTCATGGAGGCTGGGGTTCATGTGGCTCACTAGCCTTTGGACTAGTTGTTTTCATGCAGCTTTGATGCTCTTCACGCTTCTTTGCTGTGGATGAAGAAAGAGCAATACTTAGACCTTAGAGTGCCAGTCACTAGCTTTCAAGACCTCTGTCACTACACTGCTCACCGAAGTAGAATGGGGAACATTGTCTGTATTGACTGTGGTATGCCAATTGACTTTGAGGTCTACAGACTAGGATCCTGAGCACCCAGGCCCAGCAACTCATTCCCTCAAGATGTTTGGTTGTGGTTTTCGTAACTTTGCCCTCTGTATGTTCTACTATATTTAAAGATATATTTGAGTCACATATAAATACCTATGTAGAAATAGCCTCTGTCAAACCTACATATATTTGTCAATATAGCCCCTTTCATCTTCCCATACCTGTGCAACTTGTGAGTATATCAATGTATCCATTCAAAGATTATCATTACCCTTTCAGTAGCATTCATGTTATACATACCTTCCAGATGTGGAAACCAAGGGTTTTAAATAACTTATTTCCTGACACATAACTCAATAGAAGAACTTGGATGTGTATCTAGGTCTGTATGAGGCTGGAGTTGATATTCTTACACATTTCACTTCATTGTCTCTCCGCTTTGGTCATAGACTAAACTGACCATGGTTAGATCATATATTGATATTCTTGCTACCTAGATAATTTTTATTCGACTGCTCTAAATTTACTAAGCAATCTTGATTCTAACAGTAATAATATATCTTTGTCACTGGTTCTGTTAATTCTAATGATTGGTCCTAGGCTGTTCCTCCCCTTCCTTTAGGAATGGTACCTTCCAGTCTATCCATGTGCATGAAAAGTGACAAGCATGGGTCCCCATATTTCTACTTATTGGGCCACCCTATAGACACAGTTTGTAAAATCTGCATGAATATTACCTTTCTCTAATGAGCTTTGGTTTTGCGTATGCACATTTTGTTTCATGACATTGAGTGCAATCCCCACAAAATCCCCATCTTTTAAATAAAAGATGGTTGTAAATCACAATGACCTGATTATATTTATTGCATACTCTTTGTCTTTTGAGTGATAGCTTGTAGCTGGTTATGGAGTTAAGACAGCTGGCACATTTAGGATCACCTAGGACCCTGAGGAAATAACAGAATGGTTGTTATAAAACAAGCAAACATAAGACCAATACTATGGTATGTTTGTTTTACTTGTTAATTCAAGTGGCATTCAAGAAAATCAGTTTATTGCTAATTCTCACAATAAGCCCCACTATTCCTTTGCTCATATCTTTACTAAACATACAATTATGTATGCTATTTGACTGATAAGTTTCTGTTATGTATACAGGTAAAGACACAAACATCCTTCAAAGCTGAGTGTACCTTTGGAAAATTAAGTCAAAAATCGAAGTAATTATTTGGTTGCCTAATGGAAATGCTTTCCATTGGCAAAGCAGCTGCCTTACTGAGTGAAGTAACACTAATAATTTGTAACACTTCTTTATCATAAGCAACATCTTCACATTTTCAAATTGGCCTACATCATAATCTTGTGAAATGTTCAGGTAAGGCCTATACAAACTATTTTAAATAAAGTTATAAATGTGGAAACAGAGGAGTTTTACTTGATCATATTGGTTCATGTTGCAAAAATAATTGGTTAATAATTAATAAAACTGTAAGATTGGTTTATATTCCACATGTTTCTATTACTTACTTATACGGTTGTTTTCTGTTTGTACATCTCTATGATGTGCATGTACATGGTGGGACCATTGCATTCTGATTAGAAATCATTTGCAGTTTCTTCCCCTGAAGTGTCACATTTATACATGAACAAAAGAATTAGAAAGTTTTCAGCTTGAGAAGTGAATGGAGACTGTAGAAAGGCCATTCTTGGTTTAAGATTCTCCTTAGTGAAGAAATATTCATATCACTTTCCTTATTGATGCAGTGGAATGGACTTTGATTTTGACACCAAAAAATCTTAGATCCATCTTTTGTTAATATTTAGAACTTCACCTCTCGAAGTAAGAGTTTACTATCAATACAATAGGAATAGTAAGATCTGACATGGACTGTATCCTGCAGAGTAGGCACTGAGCAATTTCTTCTTGCATTATTCCACTTAGCCATCAGCACATCACTCTGAAGTAGGGATTTTTATTTTTATCAGCATCTATTTTCATTTTAAATGAAGATTTGAAAAAAAACAACACAACACAATGTAGATTTATTATTTGTTAAGCATAGAGCTAGACACTTTTCCATTGGCCTTTATTTTCTGTAAATATTAGTTCATTTTAAGGAATTCTAGTGGTGTAGTGCCTAAGGCAGGAGCTCTGGTAGCATAGTGCCTAAAGGCACTTGACTACTAACCAGAAGGCTGGCAGTTCAAATCCACCAGCCACTCCTTGGAAGGAAGATGGGGCAATCCACTTCCGTAGTGATACTGCTCCGGAAACCTGGAGTTGGGTCTGACTCGACGGCATATAACAACAACAACAACAACAACAGTGCCTAAGGCATTTGACTGATAACCAGAAGGTTGGCAGTTCAAACCCACGAGTCGCTCCATGGAAGAAAAATGGGGCAACCTACTTCCATAAAGATTAATTCATTTTAAAGACCCAGTTCAGTTCAGACTTTTAAAGAAATGTGTGGGGGAATAAGCATGATTCCAAGTGCCTCTTAAACTGAATGCTATCTCTTCCTTTATTTGTAGATAAGACAGCCCCCTGATGAGAGATGCATTTCTCATGCAAGTCATACCATACTGGTGGCTGACATGACTATTGCATTCCAGTGCTCTTTCATCAGAGCTTTGATATGCTTCAGAACCCTTCTCAGCAATCCACTCTAGGAAGCCACTACTAACTATTGGGAGTTGGCACCTAAGATAAACACTCTTTGTCGTCCCTACCACATACGGATATTTTCCTTCTGTTACATTGAAACTGTGATTATTTTAAAGTATTTAACCTTGTTCTGCCTGATGTCTCACTACCACCTTCATCACATTTCTAATTTTGTATTCTTAACGAAAACAAAAGCACTTAAAATACTTTGCTTATGGATATACCAGCCTGTTGATGAATATGCTAATACCACCAACCAGTTTAAGGCAACCATCTCTTTCTCATACTTTCAGATTCCATATGGTCACTGTGGTAGCTTTCACCGTGTTCTCTGAAATCATGCAAAATCAAAGTTTTGTAACAGAGTTTGTACTCTTGGGGCTTTCACAGAATCCAAATGTTCAGAAAATAGTATTTGTTGTATTTTTGTTTATCTACGTTGCAACTGTTGGGGCAAATATGCTAATTGTTGTGACCATCATCAGCACCCCGGCACTCATGGGCTCCCCCATGTACTTCTTTCTGGTTTTCCTATCCTTCCTGGATGCAAGCTTCTCCTCCGTTATTGCCCCGAAGATGATTGTGGACTCACTCTATGAGAGAAAAACCATCTCCTTCAAGGGCTGCATGACTCAGCTCTTCGCTGAACACTTCTTAGCTGGAGTGGAGGTGATCGTCCTCACCACCATGGCCTATGACCACTATGTGGCTATTTGCAAGCCCTTGCACTACACCTCTATCATGAACTGGAAGCTCTGTGGCATTCTGATGGGGGTAGCCTGGACAGGGGGCTTATTGCATTCCACGATTCAAATTCTCTTTACTGTCCACCTGCCCTTCTGTGGCCCTAATGTCATTGATCATTTCATGTGTGATTTGTACCCATTATTGGAGCTTGCCTGCACTGACACTTATGTCCTCGGCCTTTTGGTAGTTGCCAATAGTGGGTTCATCTGCATCATCAACTTCACCTTGTTACTCATTTCCTATTGTGTCATTTTGTTCTCACTGAGAACTCATAGCTCTGAAGGTCGTCGAAAAGCTCTTTCCACATGTGGATCTCACATTACTGTTGTGGTTTTGTTCTTTGTTCCATGTATATTTGAGTATGCACGGCCTCCATATGCTTTCTCCTTCGATAAGATGGTGGCCATATTTTGTACCATCCTAACTCCTCTGCTCAATCCTTTGATTTACACTTTCAGGAATAAGGATGTTAAAAATTCTATGAGGATATTGTGGACCAGATTGGTGGTGGTTTCTGATGAAAAATAAAATACTGAACTTCAAACATCAAAAGAAAGAAATAAAAGTGTGTTTAGATAAGAATTTATAAGGGAGGACCTAGTAAGAGAGAAGGTAATAAAATGCAGTAGAGGAACACTGATGGGGAGGCCAGGAAATGCAATTTCTACCCTCACATCACTCACCATCTTGGACATGGCAGCTTAGTATCCGCTTAAACTAAATAGGGTTGAGTTTTATCCTTATGTAGAATATAATAATGAAAAGCTATCAATAATAGAGAGGAATCATATTTTCTATTAAATTGTTTACCATTTACACAATGCTTTGAAAAACTTCCATGGAAGAAAGAAAAAATATATCTTAGAGATTGTTCTTGTTGTTGTTATGTGCCTTCGAGTTGGACCTGACTGATAGCGACCCCTCCTTGGATTTCCGAAGCAGTATCACTATGGAAGTAGATTGCTCAACTTTCCTTTTAGGAGCAGAAATTTACTGAAACTATTTAAACTGAAAAAAAAGGTTTATTGTTAAGACACTGAGCTCAGTTTAGGAGCCCTGGTGGCACTGTGGTTTAGCATTTGGCTACTAACTAAAAAGAGGCAGATGGTTCCCACGGTCTGTTCCATGGGAGAAAGATGTGGCTACTTCTGTAGAGATTACAACTTTGGAAACCCGATGATGCAGTTCTACTCTGTCTTTTAGGGTGTCTAAAATTAGAATTGACTCAATGACAATGAAAGGTAATCCTGGCAATCTGATGCAAAAGCAAATAAACAGGACTCAGGAAGGGCAGAGATGAGCACGCTCACAGAAACTCAGCTGTAGGTGCTCTTAACACACGTAACTCCATCTTTTAACATGGGCCTATTATTATCCACTGCAGATAGGGATCACTTTGTGAATTTCTTCAGAGGTAAAACTTGACTGACCATATTCTGCCTATGGATCCATTCCTTTTTGGGTCAGGTGACCATCCCATAGCAATCATCTGTGGGAGAGGAAGGGAGGTAGATTTCCTAAAGGAACCATTGATGAGTATCTTTCATTTAATTTCAATCAAAGGAAACCTTTTAGAGATCACTTACCTAGGAAAGTCAACATAGGTGTAGCAAGCCGACAACAGGGTGAATAGAAGTCAGACGTATCTGAGAGTAAAAAGTAAATTTCAAAAGAGGATTGCATTCATTTTAGTTGGTGATTTGTATTGTGTTGACTTTGTCTACCCAACTGAAAGTAATTCTATTTACTATTAGTCAATAAAGAGATCTTTTACATTCAGACACATCTGAACTCTGCCTAAGTTTTTAAAAATAGCAATCCTAACCCTGACTTTTGTAACCTCTCTTATTTACTCTTTATTTTACTACAGCATTTATCACCTTCAGACCTACTGAACAGTTTATTTACTTATTGCACTTTATCTGCCTGCTCTTACAGACTAAACTGTGAGCCAAGCTGTTTTTCTACATGGCTCAGTGATGTATCAGTAGTGTCTAGAACAGCCTGTCCCAGAAGCTCAGTAAAGATCTACTGAGCCAACAAAGATAAGTGAGATCTCTTCCTCTATTCAACTTTAAAAGTATCTGCAATATTCATCCACTAAAATGTTGTTTGGCAAGATGACTGTAGTTATGGCTGAGATTAGTCCTTTGCTTTTGAAAATAATCATAGATCATATTTTAACAACACTGAGAAATCATATTTCAAGTATGCCCTAATTTCTATACCCTAATTGTTTTCTAATCTCCACATAAAGATTCAAATAGGAAATAAAGGCATTATCCTCTACGTATGCTTCTCCTCATTCTCCAGTCCTTCCTCTATCCTCAGCAAAAATAAATGTGGTTATAAATGATACCAATTTTATTCTGAAAGTATTTTTGATTCCAATAATATAATCTCTTGCTTCAGTTTTTCATTTTATTAGTTGGGTTTGAATCTTGCCAGAGTTTCTGAATTATTTGTTGAAATCTTACCTTGATAAGATACAAACTTAAATGAACAAGGTTTAAGTAGGTCTCTTTTTCATCCTAAAACTATGTGTGGAACAAGTGGATCAAAACTCAAATTATCTCAGTTATTATCTATTCTCAGTTCCCATAAAAGAATGTTCTCATGATGAACTGCATTCCGTAACACCCTGGCAAAAGCTGGAGTCCAGTTAAATAACCCAGTCATTCAGTTCACAAGGAATATTTAATGAACACTTAAAGTTCAGTTCACCAGCTCAGAAGTTCAAAGAACTTCAAGACATCATTTACTTAGCTTCTTGCCTGTGGGCAGTTCAGAGTCTCCTCTGAAACTTCCCCGCACACACACTTGCCTTCAAGTTGATTCCAACTCACGGCAACCCCGTGCATGTAGAATAGAATTGCACTCCTTAGGGGTTTCGACGCTGGGGCTTTCTAGAAGCCTTTTACTAGGCATTTCTTCCCAGGCCTCTGGGAGCTTTTGATCCATCAATATTTCAATTACAATTTGAGTGCTTAACCATGTCCACCACCCAGGGGCTCCTCCTTTGGCTGTTGTCATTTTCTAAGCCAAAAAAGTTTATGGCATTATTGTACATATCTTATTAAAATAAAAGAGCTTTAGTCTTGCAATTAAGAAATTTGGATTCTAGGCTCAGTTCTGTTACTAAGTGACCTAATACCGCCATCAAGTGGAATCCAACTCATAGTGACCCTCCTTGGGTCTCTGAGACAGTATTTCTATGGAAGTTGATTGCCCAGTCTTCCTTCCTAGTGGCTGGTGGGTTTGAGCCACCAGCCCAGTGGTTAGCAGTCAAACTCCTTAGGCACTATGCCACCTAATTAGCTGTGTGAAATTAGGTGACATATTTTCCATCTCTGGGCCTCAAATCTATGTTTAAGAAAAATTAACAAAAACAATTTAAATATTTGTTTTTAATGTTCCTATGATTTAAAATTAATTTTTTTGCACTTAATTGAGCCAAGGACTCTTTCTTTTCATTTTTATAGGACCTTTTTAAAGTTAAATCTTCTTGTTCTCATTTATTTGATGGGCACACTAAGGCTCATAGACTTTAAATGACTCACCAAAACCCTTCCTGATGATTCTCTCACTCTGTTTGTTTATGTTCGCATAATACTTAAATGGTGAAACCAGAATTCATGATTGCCACACATATTTCATTTCTCTGAGCCTTTAACCGGCTTCAAGATTTTCACGTTCTAGAAAAGATGGGGCTAACCACTCATACAGAATTGCGGCTTCTTCACATCATCAGGGTACTTTGCATCAGGGTACTTTGGAGTTTAACTAATTGGCCCAAGGGTTTGCTTTTTCTCTTGGACTGTCTAGCTGGGTAGCTCATTGGACCATCCTTAGGGACCGGGCTGGGAGTAGTGGTTTCTTCGTAGCTCCTGAGGCAGAGAGCCTGCAGCAGACATTTCTAAACCTTTGTGGACGTTACTATAAACTTTTCATCCAGTGAAGAGAGAAACGTTTTTCCAAAAGAAACTGTGGGAAGGGAACTGACACCTAAGACAATTTTCTTTCAGTTTTCCAAAATAGTTTCTTTGGTAAAGAAGTTTTCAAGAACCAGATTGATTAACTTTTTTTTTTTTTTTTTTTTGAGCTGCATTGTTCAATGTTGTTGAGCCACTGTTTTTGTCTAAGTGGCTGCTTCTGGAGCGAAAGCATGCAAAGTCTACACATACAAGGTACCTCTCTACGTAAACTCCTCACTCTACATGATCTCTGCTATAGAAAGCATCAATAAATGACAGGGAAGTATGGTTTTCATGCTTCAGTTGGGCTTCACATGACTCATCTTCTAAGTGAATTAAAGCTGAAGATATGAATAAATATACTTTATGGGAAGTCATGTATCTGTTCAGAAGTAAAGAGGTAAGTTTCTCCAATCTGTCTGAATATTTCTTCACAACACCTACACAAAACTGATCTGGTGGAATCCATACTCTGATGGACTCAGTACTCAGTCTGTGTTCTGAAAAGTACGCACCTCCTACAGAGTATTTCTACCAACAAATAGTTATAGTCCAGGATTCCTAAGCTTTCCCTGGTCTCAGAGTAAAGCTACATTATCTGTAAAGTCTTTCTGCTCAAACAAGGGAATATCAACTGCACCATGCCATTGAAGCCAGCTTGGCCGACACTACTATTCTTGGAGGTTCCCTTGTATAAAGAGGTTGAAGTTCAGGGGCGATGTTTCTGGGACAAGATATACAAAGGAAGGCTGCAATTCCACACACTTTTCTTGGATTTTTAAGGCCTACAATGACCTATAACGGCACCCCCTTTCAGCTTTTGGGGAAAATGGTAGAGCTGTAGGTCGTGGACAAAAAAAAAAGGTTGAACTCTGTGATGAAATTTAGGTCACACTATCCTCAATAACATTCTTTGTTTCCCTCTGCCATATCTCTTTCTGTATCCCAGCCCCTCGTTCTTCTTCCTCCCTTGGCATGTGTTCTCTGTCCCTCTCATCTCTCTTGCTTTAACTTCATGGAGTCTCAGCCCTTTTCCTCTGTTCACTAGTATTTGTCTTATACCTCATTCTCTGCTTTGATATTTGTCCCACCATAAAGTTTATAATGGTTGATTTTGGAGTCAGAGTAGAAATTTAAGGTTCCTTTCTAGAATGAAGTCTACATGGGTAGTTGGGATTTAATGATGTATAAGCTAATACATTAAATGCTAGAGAAAGAAGTTGTCTGTTGTTGTTGTTGTTATGTGCCGTCGAGTCGGCCCTGACTCATAGCGACCACTCCTTGGGTTTCCGAGGCAGTATCACTACGGAAGTAGGATTGCCCAAACTTCCTTCCGAGGAAAGAAGTTGTCTAGTAGCATCTAATCTTCATTAAGGCCTGATTATATTTAGCAAAACACTCTTCCATAGACCAATCAGTTACATAAGGAAAACAATGCAAATGGCCACATTTACCTTGCCAAAAAATGTGCAGGTCAAATGAAATAACAAAAGTGAGAATTTTGTTTAAATTAATGTGACAGGAGGATATATAATCTAGGATTACCTTATTCAA